GTAATGTAATGTAATGTAATGTAATGTAATGTAATGTAATGTCATGTCATGTCATGTCATGTCATGTCATGTCATGTCATGTCATGTCATGTCATGTCATGTCATGTCATGTCATGTCATGTCATGTAATGTAATGTAATGTAATGTAATGTAATGTAATGTAATGTAATGTAATGTACTGTAGTGTAATGAAATGTAATGTCATATGATGCATGTCTGCATGTACGTGTCGATGTTCGTCCTCTTTATGCCTTACAAAAGCCAAAAACGCATTCCGTAGACCGATACGCATGCAACCATCCAACCCCCGAAATATTTCGACACGATACCACCACTTATGAATCATATAACCTTAAACCCTAAATAAACCCCAAACATTCCAGAGAACCGCCCGGAAACTGGAGAGAAGCAACCTTGTTGAGCCTCTCTCGAGGTTTTCGGCTCAACAGCCCTCCACCAAGCGTGCCGCAGGGGTGCGGTGGAGGTGGAGTTTTTGTTTGCTGTGCTGTAGGCTTTGTGGATTCGACGGATTTAGGGATTTTGAGGTTATTGGCTTTTCGCGACTTCTAAGGGCGCCAGCATTTGAGGCTCGGGGGTTTCGGCATGAGTTCCGGGTGCAGGACAACCCGCATCTCACTTACCCGGAGGTTCTTTGAAGTTTCCAAGTTTGAAACCTGACACTGCCTTACACATGTTTGTTTGCAGTTATTGGCACTTTGCTGAGGGTTCCCTGTTGTACGGATCCTATGGTTCAGGTCTATACCGTACTACTACGCGACCGTTGCTTTCTGGATCCCCACACGTAATCTACAAGCTGTCTACAGGTGTTCTACAACCCCGTAATTAAGCCATATGGAAGTGTGGGGTTAGCTTTGAGTCCCAAACCCCATATACATGCTTTGAACAAGCTGTCCTTACGATGGTAAGCCTAGGGGCTGCAAGAACTGGAGTAGACGATGGGATTATACTATAGTTCGATTTTATTGTGAATGCTACAATGGGTAGGTACGTTTATTTATACAACACCTGATCTTCTCGATATATAGTTGTATGTGTAAAGACATATGCACATATATATATATATATATATATACATATACATATATATATGCACATGTAATTCTACATGTGTATATAGACATACATGCAAAACGACACATAGTTATATACACATATACACATGTATATATATATATATATATATGTGTGTGTGTGTGTGTGTAATTTTTATGTGTTTATTTAGTGTTTCATTTGTTGGTCTATGTGCTTGTTATTCATTGGTGCATTTATGTTTTTATCTTACAGAATAATATCATGCGAGCTATGTCCGGAGCTTCCATGTGTTTTAGTTAGAGAAGGCGTCCTGAAACCCTGACGTGCAGGAGCTTTGCTCTTTAGGGTCTGTGAGTTGTTAGGGTTTATCGGTTTGGGAGTTGAAGGTTTAGGGTTTTAGCGCTTAGGCGGCTTCGAGCTCAGCTTAGGACTCTTGAAGGTTGAGAACGTAGTCCTGCTGGGGCTGGACGCCCGGCCAGGGGTGCCGAGGAGGCCAAAACCTAAACGCTTCAGTCCAAACATGTGATCTTTATGCCGGAGCCGAGCCGACGTCATCCAAACCTTAAGAACCCTAATGTAGGTGGTAGGGTGCGGCTCGAGGTTTGACGAAGTCAACGGCTTCGATTCAGGGGTTGCAACCCTTCAGGATGAAGGATTGTAGCTTGTAACTGTTTGTGGAGTTTCAGGGAATGTTCCACAGTTGAGAAGGCTGAGGACATTCAATCGGATCAAGAATCCATCCTATGCTAATGCCACGCAGAGGTGGTTGCTGCTCTTTGCCGTGGTGGGGCCCCGGTGGAAGCTCAGGACGTCGTAGTATTCATCACTTGCTGGGGTATTTTCTGGCGGAGGCCGTTTAGGAATAGAGCCGGTAGCAGTGCAAGGATTCGTGGCTTCGGAGCTGTGGAGCGATTTGGGCCTTCGGCTTGAGCGGCTTTAGGGGTCTACGCCCTGAGCCCGTCAAACGCTGAGCCCCCAATCCAGGACAACGATGGGCACTTCCCCCTAGAGCTGCTGCTTGGCCTGGGTTTAGCCTTTGTTACTTGTACCATGACGAATGCTATAAACTTTCATCAATCCCTTGTCATCTTCAACATGGGACCTGACGCAGATGTCAAGGCTCTGCGCTTGCTGCGCCAAAGCTCCAGAAGACCAACGGCTGGTGGAGGCGACTTCACGCTGCATAAATCAGTCTGTGGTGGGTTAAGTCAAAAGGCGTCTGCTGGCCTCATGCGTGGTGCTGTTTTTCTGCAAACTGACGAGATGACAACCTTGTAGACCGGCGCCGTAGCACGGCGAAAGAGTGCTGCAAGGAAGCCAAGTGAACGGACAAAAGACCCGAAACCAACTTGAACAGGGTGACTTGATGGGGTTTAAAGTCAGAAAGTAGCCGGTGGTGGGAGACCGAAGATCTTAGCTGTACAAGAACCCCGAAGGTTAGACTTCTCGACCTTATTAAACGGCCACTATATACGCGAACTCCGAAAACTCTGCAAAACCAAGAGTTCAACACCAGCACTTCCCACGCCGATCCCGGCCTTTCCCCACAACGGCCTTGAAAGTTGGCTTAATATCGGGGCCGAAGCAATGTGAATTCTATTTTTGGGGCTGGTTACACGTAGCATATATATATATATATTATACACAAAACCCTATTCTAATCATGAAGGGCCGCTATATTGCATAGAGTTCAGAAATGGCAAGGGATGCTTTCTGACCACGGCGTATGCGATACAAGACGGTTATTACGAGGGATACGATGAGGGTACCACGAAAAAGGGCTATTATGAGGGGTGGTCAAGGATTCTTGTATAAGCTTCCGGCTTAGACTTAAGGTAGTTGCGCGCCATTCGGGTTTGTCGTCATGTGGGCAGGGTTGCGCTGTCATAGAGCAGAAACCTAATGAATGCCTCCAAACCCGTCACCCCCACTTTTATGACCATTGCGCTTCGAAGTTGTGGCTGAAACGGCTCAACCACCTGCAGTTTTCCGGCAAACGATATCACCATTTGCAGGCCCTGTTCCAGCGGCATTTAGAATTCCCCACAGACTACACCCTCCTGCATTGCTGGACACACTGAACCACAATGGAAGACAGTGTCCGGACTGCAAAGCACTGCGATCCTGAATGCCCCAGTCCCTGGGACCTGAAGATACCAGAAGCCTACGCTGTAGATCCCAGCTCACCAAGCCCTCCAACTCGGACCTACGTCCAAAAGCACAGCCCGGACCTCGAGACCTATCGACCCCCCGAAATGTAGGCAACCCCGATCCCTCCGCATCCCGCCATCAAGCCCCGATGCGCTGGAAAGGTGGCTCTACGAAGTATATTGGAAGCCAATCCGGCAGCCGCGTGCAGGCTGAGGGCGAGGGAAGCCCCCAAACTCTGAAGAAGCATCTCTATCTATCCGTATGTGGATACATACATACACACACACAAATATATATATATATATATACACATACACATGTATATATACATATATATGTATACACACATGTATAGAGAGGTGAGATAGATAGTATGTATATCAACACACACGTTCACACATACATACATACATACATACATACATACATACAGACATACATACATACATACATACATACATACATACATACATATATATACATACATACACACATACATACATGTGTGTATATACACACATTGGTCTCGTCCCATCAAAGACCGAAGTCCGTCGAGCATTGGTTCGTCGAGGGGTCGTGTTCAGAGCAGGCAAATCCATTTGCAACTCTTTAATCTCATGAGGCCCGATCGCTACTTGTGCAAATTGCTCATGCTCTTACCATTCGGACGGCTCCGACATTATCATGGTGTATTTTGATTTGTTGTTCTCGCAGTTTGGTTTTGCGATCAATGACAGGCTCGATACGATGCTGACGATGACGGTCAGTATCATTACAGCTTCGACAAGTATGATGCTGAGGAAGGTGATGCTGTTGATGTTGGCGGTGGTGGTGATGCTGACGGGAGTGATGATGTTAATGAGCCCATGAACCCGACATCCTAAGTTGTTGATGATGCAGATTAGTGCGTTATGGCTGCAGTTCTCCTGTTGACGGTGTTAGACTCGGCAAAAAAATTGCAAGGTTGGACTTCTCGGATGCCTCCTCGCTGCACGTCCTCCTGAACTTGGCTGGAGCTGCTTGGCCGCCAGCCTGAGGATTCCAGCTCCTCGAGACACGCAACCTTAGGCCTTGCCTTGACAGACAAGTGAAATGTATAATATAGTACAGTAGGTTTGTTTGTATCATAGTAGAGAGAGTTGAGTATAGCATATTATGTTACAGCATAATACAATTTGGCATGGGTAGAGCAGTGGTATAGGGTACGTAGCATAGTACGGCACAGGGTGTTTTTAAGGGAAGTGTCCCCCGAGCCCTCAACCAAAAAGGCCCACCGCCTCTCTTAGAGCTTTCGGGCTCGGCCATGAAACCGCATCCACTGCATTAATATGGGAGCCTAAGTAATTACCTCTACTATTTTGGGGTTCCTTATTCGAATCATAGTAGAATCGGCCCATTAGCTGAACCCTAAACCCTAAACCCCTAAGTAGGCCTTCAAGTTTAAGTTTAGGATTTGCGGCTCAGGCTTTGTTTAGCTGTTGAATCTTTAGGGTGTTAAGGTTTCGTACACTCAACTCTGACTGGATAAGTCAGCAACACATCACTAGTAGGTTCTGCTCAGTGCACATTACTTTTGGATTCTGCATGACCCCTCGCCAATAAAGTCGTCGCATGTATAATTGTTCGTAGACCCTTCATTATACAGTATTAACTGTATGTTTCTAGTGTAGATCCTTTGTACATTCAACGATTTCTTTATGGCCTCTCTTCTGCCCACCCCGAAACCCCCCAAGGTGGAAAAGACGCTTCCTTTGCTAGCTGTTCGTGCTCTTCTGGATGCGCGTGCGGACCCAACCATTGAGGCTCACCGATGCTTGTCTTTAGGCGAGGATATTTCTGAGCCCCTGACGCCGTGTATAGCATCTGCCGGGGTTGTTTTCGTAATTAATTACAGTCCCATCTGCAAATCGTCGGTAAGCAAGGCTGGAGTGTCGGAAGGTAGCAGCAGTGGTCGTGATAGCAGGTGGGCAGTGGCTAAGAAAGTGTGGTTACTGTCTGGTTCTTGTAGGTGGTAGTCGTTGCCGTCGTCCTCGTCACGATTCGTGTCGTCGTCGTTAGACCTGTGTTAGTGGCTGTTGCAAGCAGCAGCAGCCGCACCAGCAGCAGCAGGAGGAGAAGGAGCAGTAGTAGTAGTAGTAG